GCCTGTACCGCAACAACTGGTTGAACTACCCCAACTGGCGGGGCTGCTGGAGCCTGATTCTGGGGAGCCATCTGCTCCGGAGCGGGAGTAGTGGGAGTTTGTGCTCCTAATACACAACAACTATTTTGTTGCTTGATTAATTAGTTACTTTTTAGAATTATTGCTTAGTATAATTATACTTTTGAACTCAGATTGACTTAACTAAATTATAATCTTGGTGAAACTAGTGGGTAGTTAACATAAGTCTTTGTGGGTTCGACACTCGATTTATCACTTTATTACTTGTACGACCACGTATACTTGCGTGTGTATTTGGTAGCATTAAGTTTTTGGCGTTGTTATTGGGGACTTGAATATTGGCTACTTTCTACTTTTTACTTTAGTTGTTTATTTCGTCAATTCTAACGTTTCTTATTGGTTGCTCTGGTCTCAGGAACTTTGATTGAATGTGAAGGGTCAGAAGCCAGGATAGACTTCAAGGCTTTGACCCCGAACCTGAGAGAATATTTGACGGGAGGTTGAGGGAAGCAAGGGATGCAGAACATATTCAGGCACTTGTTCAACTACCTGTGAACATGGCAGAGGAGCAACATGAGATACCCAACATTGCTAATGTCACCTCCAACATTGTGAAGCCCAGAATCACTAGGCACTTTGAGCCAAAGTAGAGCATGATCCAGCTACTACATGCGAATGGGCAGTTTATGGGTCTTCCACACGAGGATCCACAACAACACATCTTGAACTTCTTTGAGATTAGTGATAATTATATCACTAACGGAGTCACTCCAGACTATGTGAGGCTCAAATTGTTCCTGTTTTCTCTGTTTGGCTAAGCAAAGAAGTGGTTGAAGGCGGAACCAACTAATTCTATTATATCATGGAATGATCTGGCGAGGAAAGTTTTGACACGGTTCTTTCCTTCAAGAAAAACTGCAAAAAGATCAGAAGTGAGATAGTCGCCTTTAAACATAAATCGGGGGATTCTTTATATTCATCTTGGGAAAGGTTCAAGGGGCTGCTAAAAGAATGTCCTCATCACAACAAGACAAATGAAGTGTTAGCTCACACCTTCATAGAAGGGCTCCATACAGAGACAAAAATTATGGTGGACGCTGCAGTGGGAGGTCAAGTGTTGGAGAAAAGCTTCGATAAGATATATGCATTATTGAACAAATTCTCCAAAAGAAATCTTGATTTGCAAGGAGATATGGGTAGACACACAGTTCAAAAATCCGTAGGGGTCCTCGAGTTAGATGTTGTTTCTGCATTATCAGCACAGGTTGCCACATTGGCTAACCAAGTCAATAAAATAACATTGGTTATTAACAAGCAACAAGCTCAATCAGTGAAACAGGTGCAGATATTTTTTGAAGTATATGGAGAGGGTCACACGAGCAATTTATGCACAACTAATCCAGAGTCTGTTTGTTTCGTGGGTAATACAAATAGGGGCCAGACAAACCAGTGTGGGAACATTGGAGGAACCACCCAAACTTCTCTTGGGGTGGAAACCAAGATGCTCGGAATCAGTACAGGCCACAAGCTCCTCAACAACAATATAGACCACCATAGGTTGAACAACCTACAAACCCGATGAGTCACATTAAGGAGATGCTAAAGAAATTGATGGCTGACCAGCAGGTCCAAGCATTAGCGATGAGAAATTTGGAGTGACAAATAGGGCAACTTGCCAGTTCCCAAAATACTCGACCAGTTGGAGCTCTTCCAAGCAACACCAAGGCTAATCCTAAGATATCTATCAATGATATGTCATTGAGGAATATGAGACAGTTAGAAGAAGTCCCATCGAAAAAGAGAAAAAAGTGACCTTTAATGAGAAATTGGGCTCTATAGAAGCAGAATCAGAAAAGGAAAGAGAGTCAGAGAAGCCAGTTGAAGAGGCGGTGAAAAAGCAACCCCTATCATTAGTTTCGAGGCCACCACCCACATTCCCTCAGAGATTGCAGAAAGTGAAGGATAATGCTGCTTATAAAATGTTTCTTGATATTTTGAAGCAGGTGCAAAACAATATTCTGTTCATAGACATCTTGCAAGAAGTGCCCAAACATGCCAAATACATCAAGGACATAGTGGAAAATAAGAGGAGGTTGGCAGAGTTTGAGTCTGTGGCACTTACTGAAGAATAAACCTCAAGAATTCAAAGCAATCTACCTCAAAAATTGAAGGATCCAGGTAGTTTCACTTTCCAAATCTCTATTGGTAAGCACGCAGTCGAGCTAGCTTTGTGTGATCTTTGGGAGAGAATCAATTTGATGTCGCTATCTGTGTTCAGACAGTAGCGATTTGGTGAGTCGTGCCCAACCACAGTGATTATACAGTTGGTTGATCGCTTCCTTGCTCATCTTGAAGGAGTACTTGATTGAAGATGTGTTAGTTCGAGTGGGTTCTTTCATAATCCATGTTGATTTCATTATCTTGGACTATGAGCATGATTAGGAATTCCTATTTATTTTAGGGCATCCATTCTTAGCCATGGGCTGAGCTATTATCGATGTATGTGAAAGAAACATGACAATGAGAGTGGGTGATTGAGTGGAGGTATTCAATCTGTATAAAGCACTCAGACTGCCAACCCACTATGAAGAGCTATCCATGATTTCTGTGGTGGAAAGTGATGTGGCTTCATTGGTGACTTATATAAGCCCCATAGATCCTCTTGAACGGGCCTTGATGGGGGATGAAGAAGAAAGTGAAGATGAGATGATAGAAGAAATTGAGCAAGTATTTAACATGTCTTGCAAATATGTCCATGGGCTTGAGAGATTTGAGGAGTTGGACAAACCTGTTACTCTGACCCCTCCTAAACCATTTATTGACGAAGCTCCAAAGCTAGAGCTCAAACCTCTTCTAGTGCACCTGTGCTATGCTTACTTGGGGAACTCTGAAACATTGCCAGTGATTATCTCATCCAACTTAACTAATGTGCAAGAAGAAAAGCTGCTCATAGTGCTTCGTGAGCATAAAAAAGCAATTGGGTGGACAATTGCTGATATAAAAGGAATCAGTCCATCATTTTGTTTGCATAAAATCTTTCTAGAAGATGGACACATCCCTAGTGTTGAGAAACAAAGAAGATTAAATTCGATTATAAAAGAGGTCTTGAAGAAGGAAGTAATTAAGTAGCTTGAGGCAGGTATCATCTTCCCTATTTCTGACAGCAACTGGGTGAGCCCAGTGCATTGTGTGCCTTAAAAGGGGGGATGACTGTTGTAGAGAATGAGAAAAATGAGCTAATTCCTACTCGCACTGTGATGCGGTGGAGAGTTTGCATTGACTACAGAAGGCTCAACAAACCAACCCGCAAGGATCACTTTTCACTTACATTCATTGACCAGATGTTGGGCAGATTGGCGGGGCACGAATATTATACTTCCTTGATGGTTATTTGCTGTACAACTAGATTGTCATTTTCCCAGAGGATCAGGAGAAGACCACTTTTACATGTCCTTATGGTACTTTTTCTTTCAAGCGAATGCCATTTGATCCTTGTAATGCACCGGCCACTTTCCAGAGGTGTATGATGGCCATTTTTACTGATATGGTGGAGCAATTCGTAGAAGTCTTCATGGATGATTTTTCAGTCTTTGGGTCTTCTTATGATGACTGTTTGAAGAATTTGGGCATTGTGTTGGCCCGTTGTGAAGAAACAATTTAATTGCTAAATTGGGAAAAGTTCCATTTTATGGTACAACAAGGAATCGTGTTGAACCATAGAGTGTGAAGGAGTGACATTGAAGTTGATAAGGCGAAGGTGGAGGCGGTTGAAACATTACCTCCACCCATTTATGTGAAGGGTGTCCGGAGTTTCTTTGGACACGCGGGGTTCTATACACATTTTATTATAGATTTTTCAAACATTTCTACTCTTTTGTGCAGGTTGCTTGAAAAGGATGTAATCTTTAATTTTGATGAAGCCTGCCTGAAGGCATTTGAGGAGCTCAAAAAGAAGTTCATGACTGGCCCCATTATTGTGGCACCTGATTGGTCCTTACCATGCTATTGGGCAGTGCTTGGCCAGAGGAAGGACAAAATATTTTAATCGACATACTATGCGAGTAAGACTCTTGATGATACATAGATGAATTACACCACCACTGAAAAGGAGTTGTTGGCCGTTGTGTGGGCCTTTGAGAAATTTCCAGCATACTTGGTGGGAACCAAAGTTGTAGTCCATACCAACCATGCAGCAATCAGGTATCCATTTACAATAAAAGGAATCCAAGGCTAGATTGACGCGCTGGGTTTTGTTATTGCTGGAATTTGATGTAAAAATACGAGATCGGAAGGGCACAAAAAAACAAGTAGCCGACCATCTATCAAGGCTGAAAATCATGAGCACGTGGAGGAAGGTAGACAAATTAAGGAGGTATTTCCTGATGAGCATCTTTTTGCTATCACCCAAGACCCTGCCCCATGTTATGCGGATTATGTGAATTGTATTATGAGTGGGGTACTTCCTCCCTAAATTGAATTTGAAGCTAGAAAGAGGTTTCTACATGATGTGAACTTCTACTACTGGGTTGATCCATTCTTGTACAGACAGTGTGCTGATCAGTTGATGAGGAGATGCATTCTTGAAAAGGAGGTGGAATTGGTGTTGTATGATTATTATGCCTCGCCTTATGGAGGTCATCATGGACACTGTTGGATAGCTGCAAAAGATTTACAGTCTGGGTTCTTTTGGCCAACATTGTTCAAGGATGCCCATGCGTTTGTTAATAAGTGTGACCAGTGTCATAGAATAGGAACAATTACAAGTAGGCATGAGATGCCTTTGAATAATATCCTGGAGGAGGAAATTTTTTATGTGTGGGGGATAGACTTCATGGGACCGTTTCCATTGTCTAGAGGAAACAAATATATCTTGCTAGAGGTTGACTACGTGTCAAAATGGGTAGAGGCTATCTCATTTCCAATCAATGATGTCAAGGTGGTAGCTGCTTTTGTGAAGAAAAACATATTCTCGAGGTTTGGGACTCCACGTGCCTTGATTAGTGATGAAGGGACACATTTCTGCAATCGGTTGTTGAGTAACCTTCTAACAAATAAGTGGTCCGCCACAGATTTGCCATGGAATATCACCCGCAGACAAGGACAAGCTGAGGTGCCCAACAGAGAAATAAAGCAGATATTAGAGAAGAGAGTGAGTTTGAATAGGAAGGATTGATCTGCAAAGTTAGATGATGCCTTGTGGGCATATATAACTGCATACAAAACACCAAGTGGGGCATCCCCGTATAAGCTTGTTTATAGGAATGCATGTCACTTGCCGGTTGAACTTGAACACAAGGCGTATTAGGCAATTAAAAAGTAAATATGGACTTTGAAGCTACGGGCGAGAAGAGGCTCTTGCAGTTGAATGAGTTAGAACCATCTACCCTCATATTAGAACCCATGACCCATACCCAAATCCCTCCTAATTATAATAACTCTAACCCCCCGAGCCCTTCTCTCTTTCTCCCTGCTACTCTTCCCTCCTCTCTGCCCCCGTCTCTATCTCCGTCCCTCTCTCAATTGTTATAGTTTTTTTTATTGTTCTCTCGCATTCATCTACAAATCTCCCAGGTATGTTTTCCTTCCCCCTTTTTCTTTTATTTTGTAGATTATAATGCCCATCCCCCCTCCCAAACTCCCATCTCCAAATTCCCCCATAAGATGCTTCTTAGAACTTGTTCTATGGTGGGTGGCCCGATTGTGGAACAAAATTGGTTGTTACAACTTGGTTGTTGTGTTGTATACGGAGTAGTAAACTTTAATTCCCTATACTTCATAAAATTTGGGAGGGCCACCATCTTCCACCATTGTTGAATTGAGTTGAACACACTCAATGCCCACCATGTGTTTGATAAAATGATTGAAAGAGTCAATTGGGCACCGGTGAAGTCTGAGTAGCCGAGTGTAGTTGTATGTGATATCGGGCTAATTATGGGGTGTTGGGGGTGGGTTTACCTAACCTAAATCATATCTTTAATGTTCACATGTTATAACCATGCCACCCATACCATGTATCTTGTACTATGTATGTTGTAGCACTGTGTTAGAATTAGCTAGTGTTGTATATTAGTTGTAGAGATTGGGACCATGTGTTACTTGCTTGCACTAATGCTAAGTCACATCGCCATGATCGACTGTTTGATTTGTGGTGCATAGTTAGTGCATTATAATTATGCGGCATGGGGAAGTCTTGAGTACCCATCGCCTTGTGGTGCAACACTTGTGCATTTTCAACTAATATTGTGGGTATATTACATAGAGCCTTCAATTTTAAGTGTGGGATCATCTTTGACTCTCATGATAATCTTCGACGGATTTCTTGATTAATTCTCACATTCATGATTATTTTTGTTGTAGGTTGATATGGCTCGTGATAGTGCGAACAAGGGTAAAGGAGTGGGGACGTCCTCAACCACTGTTCTCGCTCCTAAAAAGCGCAAGCAAGGGGAAATCTCTTCTCAACAAGCTAAAGGGAAACAGGTTGCCGACGGATCGAAGAAGGCAACACCGGGACCAAGGCCTCATTTGGATCTAGTTCGTGAGGATGCCATACAATGGCATAATAACTTTGTGCCATATGGACGATATGTCTCTGAAATGGAAATTAATGTGAAAACTCTGGAACAGAACTTCCCGGACGTGCTTGCCCGGTTAAAAGAAATGAAGATGGATAAGTTCTTAGAGTGAACGGGCCATGCAAATTTGAGTATGGTGTGAGATCTTTACGCAAATTGGAATGGGGACTTGTTCATGTCACGGGTCCACAGAAAGGAGGTGCTAATGGATAGGCGTTCCTTATGCGAATTTTTGGGTGTTGATAGCCCTAACCCGCGAAGGCTGCAAACGTTTGTCAAATGCCCAAGCTATCAGGTTATACATCACAATCTATGTGGCGTCGATTTGAATGCAAAGTGGACAAGAACTAAGGGTGATGCCCATCTTGAGATGATCCACTTCGACTTCAACAAGACTGCCAAGGTGTGACAGAATTTCATGCAGGGCAGACTAATGCCGGTTGAGCACAACAACAAGTGCACTAGAGCTCGAGTGTTTGATATTTTTCTGATTACTGGGCGACCCATCAATGTGGGAGAGATCATGTTAGGGGAGATGGACTGCACACGATATTGGAGGAAAATCAAGAGATTCTTCTTTGGCAACTTGCTAACGCAGTATATGTTGTCCCGGGAGGTACCTGAATACCGCAGTTATGACGAGGTTAAGGAGGCACCCAAGAGGTTGATGGACATCACATCGTTGTTTGAGTCTACGTCTAAGATAAGCCATGCGACACAGAATGAGAGGGACAAGAACTTCAACAGGTATCTCTATAGCCCCCTAAATGTGATCATGAGCAGGTTGGGCGTGTCGGACGAGGAGCATATGCATCTATGTAATGATCTATCCAATTCTTCCATCAGAGGATGAGAACACCCACGAAGGCTCCGACACTAAGGATGATCTTGATGCTAACATCATGGGACCCATGGCTTTGGTGCCCCTGGGAGCGGATGATGATGATGAGCCCGAAGCTCCTGCTGCTGGGTATTCTGAGGAGGTGGAATCCGACTAGCAGGGAGCTCTTCTTTCCACCTTACTTTGCTTTAAATTCTTACATGCATTGGGGACTATGCATATGTTAAGTGTGGGGTGGGGGAACTACTTTATGTGATGTAAATTGTATAAATCTATTTTTTTTATTTTATTAGTTTTTCTTTTAGGAACCCGTAGTAGACACAGTCTAGTTTTAAAATAAATTAAATACGAAAATAGAAAAAAAAATTATGAAAAAGCTCGGACTTTTCCCGATGATGGATCTTTTGGATAATTTTCTTGAGGGATTAAAGTCTGATTAAAAACACCAAAAAAATCTTTTTTTTAGGATAGTTAGGTAGTATCCCTTGCCTTTTATTTTGGTCCCGGTTCTTTTTCAAAGGTGTATCTCAAACCCGGTACTTTGTTTTTTTAGGAAGGATAGGAAGAAAACTGAGTTGCTCTGAGGTAACTACTGACATGTTCGGTGCTGGCACATTAGGCGATGGCATGCACTCTGTCTTCCCATACATTTGATTTGAATTGTGATGCCTGAGTAAAATAAATAGCCTACTCTGTGATGCCTTTTCTCAGTTGTTTGATTTGTATGTCACCTAGTGCAATATTGCTTAAAATTTCTCAATTATATGTGCTTGATTGACTTAAGAGTTGAACAGAACCGTCTTGATTGATTCATGTGCAATGTGTGTGTAAGGATTTGTGTTATTTTGTGTTATCATGTGTAGTATAGAACTTTTCCCGTGTGTTAATCGAAGCAAAATCATTAAGTTGTGCTAGTCTAAGAGATGACGTGGGTAGTTCTTTGCTTGATAATAGATGTTCTTGTCACTTAAAATAAAATATTTCCGTTGCTAGCCCCTTTGAGCCTATTGACCTTTTTCTTGGTACCCACATTACAAGCCATACCCTATTGTATTTTGAATTTGAAATTGTTGAACCTTTACTTCCGAAGAAACTTAGTCGCTAAAAGAAGTAAGGTGAGAGATTGGAAAGTAGCTTTCGCGTGGAACCATGGAAGGTCCCTTAAGGTGCACTAAAGTTGTGAAAAAAGTTCACTAGCTGATGAACCTTAATGTATGGCGTGTGTGTAGAAAAAAAAAGAAAAACAAAAATTGCAAGAAAAGGAAAAAATAATTCACATAATGTAGAAAAACACACATCTCCTAATCTTAATAATTCGTGCTAGTGGAAATATAGAAATGCTTAATTGAGAAAAAAAAAGGCTATGTTGTATATGGTTGTGGCAAGTGAATTGCTTGAGAAGAAAATGTGCTCGATTTTTTAGTGTAGTGTATTAAAGTGCTTAGGAGGGTCAGTCACTATTCCTAAATGTATCATACACGTCCCTTAGCCTACATTACAACCCATAAAGTCCTAATTGATCCTAGACTTTGCTGACTTAGATTAGTAGAGGTGTACACTACGGGCAAGCTTATGGTACGAGGATGGGATGCACATGAATTCTTTGTGAGAGTGCAATTTTTGTTCCAA